CCCCGCCCCCGCCCCCCGACTTTCTTTTTCATGACAATTGGCGGTGTTTGTACAAGACACCGGTGTTTGTACAAGACGCATTTCCTTCTTTGTTTTTGGACGATCTCGTGTGCGATTGATGTTCGACTATCTTCCGGCTGCATGGATGTTTCGAGCTCCAGTTCACATGACACCACACGTGAACCGGGAATAACCAAGGCGATGCGCATCCAAAAGAACCCAAACCAAAAATCCCCTCGTGTCCCCCGGGGGGTTACTTACCTGCTGCCTTGCTCTCCTCCTCCTTGCTCTCCTTGGCAGCGCGGCAACTGCAAGGACGTCTTCGCTGCGTTGGCGTACAGCGAAGTTAGGCTAACGACCACGAGCAGGGTGACGGCAACGAATAGTTCCGCCGCGGCACCTGTCGCCACGACCGCTGCTGTCGCCACAACCACCACGGCTGGCGTCGAAACGACCGCGGCTTCGGGGTCCCCGTTGGGGCCGCCGGCAGCGTCAATCGGGTCGAAGCAACGGAGGATAGTCTCACGCTTGGCCCCAGATGCTTCGGACGACCCTGGTGGCACAATAGGGTCCTCCAGATCTCCGAACAAGAAGAAACGATCCATCGCCGAGCGGAGAACACCGTGCCAACCGTAGGCAACTGCATACCCGGTAATAACGCTTGTATGTGCCCCCTCCCCCATGTGACTGGCGAACGGTTATGGGATGGCTGCTCGTCTCTGCAGCAACTTTCAGGGCGTCCCCCCCGACATGCATCTGACGATTGCGTCTGGAAGAGGGGGTCAGCGGCGTGGCAGGCACACGCTGCGTTGTGCCTTTCGCCGTTTGGGGTGGTGAAGAACTTCGCCCATTCGTTGTCGGTTGAGGTTTTGTGACGCTGATTCCCCGGGAGTGTGTGTAGTGCGGGGGACCTTTGTGGCATTGCTGAACCCCGTCAACGTCTTAGCTCCTCCCGAGTGCCATGGTGATGGCGTCAGGGCCTTGTACCGAAGTTGTTAATGTGGTGTGCGGTAGATTTGATATGCCGTGGTGGCCCACTTGCTGTCACGTTGGGATCCGTGCCGCCCTTGTTCGGGTACCTGCTCTCCTGTGCTGCTGGTTGTAGAATAGGAAAACGATCACGTACCGCACTCTATCGCAGCTTGCTTCATGGCGTGAACCTGGTCGGTGACCGTTGTGGCCCATGGTAGCTGCACTATAGCTGCTCGGGTTTTGTGCAGGAATCGTGCATGTGTCATTTCCTTCAGGGACAACATTATTTTCCTATCGGGACGTGTCCGCTTATTATATCTTTGCCTCCAAATGAACCTGATTTCTTGGTTATCTTGGTTAATCGATTGCGTGGTACAGTATTCCCTTCCTGTCGGAGCAGACGAACGGCGTTTGGTGATGCGCAACTGCGAATATTGCGTAAATCGTGGAAGTAAAACAATAGGTGGGTTGAAACAACCGGTTCAACCGGTGGAAGTACGCCGTCACAATTTGCGCGAGGGAACCATTTACGCGGATGAACACCACTTTAGGTCGTTGCGGGGGTAAGCATGAATCATCCAGTTCACTTGAGTCATAACCATTCAGTTCACTTGGGTCTGTTTTTCACACACGTGGCTCTTTTTTTTCCCCACAATTTTGTTTTGGTGCGGCTGCTGTGAGTGTCCTTGTGGAAGCCCATTTCCGTTCATTCGTGCAGCCGCCTACGTTCGCGATCGGGTTTGATGTGGTCCCCTTGCTTGGAGGCGGGACGAATGAAGTCGACCCTCCCTGCAGGTATTACCCGTGATTCCCGCTGCGCATAAAGCGTTCGTGAGAGCAATTTCTGGCTGTTTCGCCGACCTCCGATGAGTTTTCGAGGCAGCGTGAGAAGTCATCCAAGACTGTGAGTTTCCAAGCGTCTCGTCAGCTCTGAGTACATGCAATGAAGCTCTTACGTCGTACGGCTGTCACCGGGAAAAAATTGCACGCATGCTGTTGGTGGGGTGTTGCCCTGGCGCTGTGTGTGGCCTTGGTCGTGCCTCGCTATGAGAGCACTTGGCGCCGTTGGCCAGGCCCGGGGTAATGATCGCCGTTCATCCTCCGTTGCGCGTTCGGTTTTCGATTATGTACCGATCTTCATCGATTGGTCGCGAAGTCAGATTGGCACCCCGTGGGGTACTACGGCGTGTTAGGTCAGGAGGAGCATCTCTTTTGCCTACTCCGGAACTATATCTTGAATTATTTGGATAACTTTCTCCCTCCTCCGAGTTTTCGCCAGTGCTATCATTCGTCTGGTATTGTCTGGTGTGGACTGGTGAGGTCTCGTTGGGCAGCTCGATCATGTACCACCCAACATTACTGCAAGCACGCCGGGGGGGAAGGCAGAATATGTCGTGTCGTGGGCGAGGGATGAGTGACCTTTTTAGTACCCATGCATGGCATGATATGCTAACTCACATGATCCATGGGGTGTGTCTACAAAGGATCGGGTGCTTACACCAGGAGGCTTGGAGGAGCATGAGGCGGGATTTGATCGCCCGACTCGTAAGTTTCAAGAGTGGTAGGGAGGGAAGCGATGAATACTTGGCCAAATCAAAAAAGGTTGACTACCCCGCGATTAGCCAGCGAGAGATGTTTTTTCCAACGCGTCCTCCGGTTTTCGGGGGAGTCAGACGGCCAAACAAGCGTCCTGAATGTATCAATGATTGGGATCTTGTTCGGCAATCACACTGTTGTGGGAAATATCTCATCCTACAACTATTGACTATAGAATTCGATCCGTGTCTCTCAGTCTCTCTCGTCGCCATCCTTGTAACCAAAAGAAGAACCGCCATGACCTTCACGTTCGGATCAACGACTCCACCCACAATTTTCTGCGCTAGGCCGCGTGTTCACTTCGAGGGATCGAATTCCAAAGGCACCAACACCAACGGCGTGCGGTGCCACCCCTGTCTAGTTTCAATGATGTACGACACAACGATGTTTGTTGTTGTCGATATTGTCGTGTTCACAAGAACGAGGAGGAACACGACTTGCTTCCCGGTTTCCTCTAACCATCGGCACACTTCTCACAGGATCAAACTGACGGGCAAAAGTTCCGTGGTCACAGGGAATACAACTGCCCAAGAAGGACACATTTCGAAATAGATCAAACGAGGAAGACCCCAGCGAAGTTATCACGAACGCGATGGAACCAACCTGGTACCCAAGGCCATGGCTTATATCAATTCTACAGGACAAGTGATTGAAGAGGCACCCTTCCGCTGAGAAAGTGCTCAAGTCGTCCTTCACCACTGTTCGAATAGTATACCTTACTTTGAAGTACAAAGTAGTCGATATCACGGCGTCCCTGTGCGAGACATGAGCGCTAAAGTCAAAGGCCGCCGCCACGTCGTTGTTGTCAAGGAACGGTTTGACATCCCTCCGCAGGGCCCCTGCATACGCCTAGAAAGCAAGTTCCTCCCGCGCATCATAGAATGTCAAGGCCGCCGCCACGTCGTTGTGGTAAAGGGAATGCTTGACATTCCTCCACAGGGCCTGTGCTTTCCAGGCGTATGCAGAGGCCCTGCGGAGGGACATTAAGACGTCCCTTGACCACGACAACGTCGCGGCCACCTTGACGTTCTATGATGGGCGGGATTTTTTTCCAGGTGTATGCAGAGGCCCGGTGGAGGGACGTCAAACCACCCCTTCACTCCAAAGACGTGATGGCGGCCTTGACAATGGCGCTCAATGGACACCGCGATAGACTGGGTACTTCGTAGTGCATCGAAGAATACGATTTGGACAGTAGTGGTGACGGACGAATTGAGCGCTTTCCCAGGAAGGGCGCCTCTTGTGCTACGCCTGCACTGGTGGCCAGAGGGGCAGGTTGGTCTCGAACCACAACCTGGGGGGAGGGAGGTTGGGAGGCCGAGTTCGACCTTGGACCCAATTTTTCTTCGGGCTTGCAGCCCGCCGTGTTGATTGCAATAACGCCAACATCCAAGATGCGGGATAACTTCCACACTTTGGGCTGCAACCTCCCTACAACCTCTGGCCACTCGCGTGAGCAAGCTCCTTCCGCGGTCGAAATGAAATTTATCAAGGAGGAGGCGGGATTGAACGAATGCCCGAACATGTATTGAAGTGGGATAGAGAGTGACATTGGTCAGCAGGTGAGAGTGAACAATTCACACATTCTCATCGTACAAACACTGCACAGATATATTCAGTACGTCCGGCAGAACCACGCAGTTTCACTACGCTGTTTTGGTATTATCCCCCCCCAAAAGAGCTGAGACAGTTACTCAGATGCCTCAGGTGTGGGTGTGTGGAGTCCAATGATGGCAGACCCCAGCGCTTGCTCAGCTGGGACTGTTTCTCAGCCGCCTTGAGGTGTGGCGGGTGGAGGCCATCACGACAGACCCCGGCGCTTGCCACCAACTGGGAGGCGATACAAGGGGATACGGAACAGCAGAGCTCAACACGGACTTTCAGCGGTTTCAGCAGCTCGTTTGGTCTGCCTTCCGATTGCATCTCCTTTCGTCAGCATCTACTGCCTGTTTGCGGCCTACGCCGCTTCTTTATCGGGTGAGACTGTTTCGGTGATGTATTAACTCCACGAGAGGTCGACAACCGTCCTTCACACGGACGAAAGAAGGAGTGCTCCAAACAGAGCGTCTTCAATAGCAAGGCGGGGCCCCGGGAATCATCACGATGCCCCCTACCAAACGGCAATCTCACCAGTCTGCGTGACACCAAATCATCCAGCACACGTAGGCTATCCAACACCAATGTTCGCAGACCCACGAACACTGCCCCTAGACGGTACGTGCAGAGTCTGGACCGCTTGCTGGAGGGCTGGCGAACGAATATTGTCTGCTCTACAAGCTTGACGACGGGACGAATATCGATCACGCTTGCCACCTACCTCGTTGGCGCCATCGAAGGCCATGCATTGTTTGTAGAGAGTTCTCCATCAACGGCACAAGAGCAGGCCCAAAGCGGCACGCATGTCGTGACATGAATATTGTAAGCGGATCAACCTCTGTCCGAATCAAGTAGTTGGCGTGCTGCGGTGACAAGACGTTTCGACGCGACTGGTGAATCACAGCAAGAACGGTTGTTTTAGTACCTCTACTTGCGTCATCTGGTTGGCAAACATCGGCACGCACATCCCAGAATGAATGGGACGTTCGTGCTGCACGGTTTCCGATCGATACCTTTACAACAGAGACAGGGGGTGGCAACGAGGAGGAGGAAAAAGGGATCGACGCGAGGAGGTTAGAAACACGAGGGGAGAGGGGCTAGTTGTTATGGGAGGTGCGATTGCTTGTTTTGCGTGCCTCAAAATGCTTTCCTCTCAGCCGGTCGGTCTATGGGCAAGCGTTGATGACGAAAGAAGGTTCACTGCCGTCCCCTCCGTAGAGTGATAGACTAACGCAATACCATCGTTGGATAGTATCTGCTGTACATAGTCCATGTGTTCCGTCGAATGTACTTGTTGTGCGCATGTTCTTTTCTTGTTTATTTTGGGGACAGTCCCCCATTTTTCGTGGTGAGCTTGGCTACACTATTATTTGTTTGTATGTAGCGTATTACACTGTTGTTCAGTGTATTTCTTTTTTCCGTACAACCGACAACGGTCCAGCGTCACACAGGAGGGGGTAAACACCAGGGCTCTTTTATTATTTTCATCTATTTTCGGGGCCCACCTTCCTCCTGCGGTGCGTGAAAAGTTCCATGTTTATCGCGACAAGGGTCCAGTCGTCCCTTTCCCTCGTCTTGCTGACAAAAATACCATGGAAAGCGGTGCATGCGTTTGTGAAAGGAGCAACGCCGCGGTACATACAGATAGTGGGGGCATGTTTTGGGGGCCTGGGCCACACCGCCCGATCGATCGGCTACGTTGCCTAGAACTGGCCATAACTCTTTTGGTTGAGCGTTCGACGAAACGACATTCTGGGAAGGTGTGTCCTGCGAGTGACTGGTGGTGTACACACCAACAAGCAACATTTCCGTTGTTGAGTCAAGACATGTGGAGGTGCAGCTTTTCTTCCATTTGTGAACGAGAGGGTGACCTCCTTGGACTATCTTGTCATGGCTTCAAGAAGGGTAATGCCGCCCTTGTGCCCATCTCATCTTGACCATGTTGTCGTCACTATTCGAGCGATCTAGTAGTCGACAACCGTTTTGCAAGAACTCTCGTCGAGAAAATATTTTGGTCGCTGAGCAGAGTTGGCTACCCCCACGTTCGAGACGATTCAATGCCCTGCTACAAGCTACAATACCACATGTTTCACCTCCGTTCTTGCGGTTGTAGCGATGGACTCGCGGTGGCTTGTGCGGGGTGGCTGAGAAAGGGGTTGTTTGTTGAGTGTGTGTGGAGTGGGAGCGGCCTGCTGACAAAATGTGATCGAGCTCGTGCCGTTTTGCGATCGATGCGGTTTTCGTCGTGTACTCTAAGTGCTCTCTCTCGGCGTCGTCCCTCACGTCCTTACACCGCCCTACGGCTCTTGTGGACTCACCCCAGCCGGGATCACTGAATTATCCGCCTTCCTTCTGCGGTGCTTGGTGGATTGAATTTTTTCCTGAGAAGGAGTCAGTGAGCCGTTCCGATCCCATGTCGGCGGTGAAACGGTTAATGTTTTGCGTACAACGCGCAAACACGACTGTTTGTTGTATCGCATTTCCACAGTGGGCGTGTTGCGAGAAAATATTTCAGTTTGTGTGACTGCACCGAGGTTCGAACCCACATCCAAACGTGAGAAGGTTGGGAGGTTACCTGCTGCACCGCTCATGTGTGGGAGGGGCAGAAGCCGTAGGGTAGGGAGCGAGGGCGCAAAAAAAATGCAGCTTACGGCGACCGCCCGGCGGTATGACGCACTGCTATGCAATAGTCGCGGAAGATATAATCCAAGTGTTTTATGTGGCGTGCAAAACACAGCAACCCACAACGTACTCATGAAGGACTTCTACAGTCACTTCATGCAAAAAGAGAGCCAGCATTGCAAGGCCGGCCAGCCGGCGAACACGAAAAAAAAGCACGGCGATTCCGAATAGGACACACCAACAATAGAAAACAACGTCTAGATGAAATAACATAAAAGGTGCTAAAATACATCAGCCGCAGGATATCACCCTCCTGCGAACAGAAGCCCAGACACGCGCAAATACTACAACAAACGCCCGGGCACCGTAATAGCTCTTCCGCCCCTAAAGGGCGACTAAAAGATTATAATCACAACAGAGCACGTGGTTGCCCGCTATCTTTAAGCAAGAGGTGATTTTTTTTGCAAGGGACGCCGCGTGCACGAAACAATCACCAACTTCTCCCTGCATGACTGGTGCGTCAAAAACATGACCCGGTAGGTTTAAGCTTTGCGCCTAGAATACGCGGGACGAACACAAAAAGTCGACGACGACAGCAACGACAAGAACAACCGTGTGGCAAAGACGAGATGGCAACACGAACACTTCCCGCGAACAGCGGTGTCCCAAGGAACCTACAACACGTTGAGTTCGCCAGGACGGGA